GTTTCATCTGCAGCTCCTTACATGGCATCTTTGCACTTTGCAGACAGACAATAGATCACAGTATACTTGTTCTGTTTCAACCTGAGTTCTAAATTGTATTCTCATTCATCATTTGCATTGCGTCATTCCCTTAAATCTCTATTTCTCTATTCTGCCAAGTGCATGTCATATCATGGTAAACAACTCTTGAATTTGCTGATTCTCTGGCTTTGCTTTCAGATCTGCTACCTTACAGAAATAAGCAGCTGTATTTTTTTCCCCGGACAGTATTCTTTATTAGGTTGCCACATGTTAGGATAACTCCCGCCCCAGACAACTGCCACTCCCATGGTGCTTGAGCCCTCAGCTGTTCCCAGACATCATGCAGGCCACCCGCTAGGCTTTTATAATAGGGGCTGTGTCCCGCTGAAGCACTAGAGCTTGATGGTCAAAAGGTTAAGGCCCCGATATACCAATGACGAGGTTCTTTTTGTTTCGTTTTTTTGCTTATAGGGGTAAAAAGAAGTTTGAAATACCTGAGCAGCAGTATACTTTTAGCGACCAATGGTAGCTATGGAAAGTTCGCTTTGGCAAGCTGTTTTTAACTCCTGAAAAAAACTATAAACAAACTTAGTTTTGGCCCAGATTTTGTTCGAAATGATGCCACACCAGTTCTTCTAAAAATAAAAAACCTGACATCTAAAAAAAAACATGACATTAAGCTTTAAAATCTGAAATTTTCAGTTTTGTTTTGTTGTCTCTATATTTTGCCTATTATCTGTATATTTTTCAGCAAATATTCAAAATAAAAAAAACTATTATTTTTAATTATTAGCCTATTATATTTTTATGAATTAAGAAAATGTTAGTTATAATAAGAAATACATATACTACCATTCAGTTTTTAAAAATTCACCAAGGCTGCATTCATTAGATCAAAATATATTATTTTAATATAATTTACAATGTAATATATTCTAATATGCTGATTGGGTGCTCAAGAAATATTTCTTATTTTTATAAATGTTGAAAACAGTTGTACTGCTTAATATCTTTGTGAAAATCTTTATACTTTTTTCAGGATTGTTTGATGAATAAAAAGTTCAAAAGAACAGGTTGAAATAAAAATCTTTTGTAACATTATTAATGTATGCGACATGTTCATATAATTATTTTGTGATAAAGTATATATTCGAAACTATATTTGATTTTTTGAAATTGATTGCTGTTCATGATTGAGGACTCAAGCTCTAACTCCCCTGTACTTAAACATGAATCAGTAATAAAACTGACACAAAGGTGGAGATGGCGTGGTGAAGGGATGCCTGAAGAATTGTCACTGGAGTGAGTTATGCAGCCATTTATGCATGCTTATTCATGCATCGTGACTGGCAGGATTAGATAAACATGCTACTCCCAAACCTTTGTTTAAAACTCCTATAAACTACAATTAGCTTGTGATTAATAGTAGTTCAAAATGAGTTTCAAATTATATGAAACAAATATTTTGAACCCAGCGAGGGGTGTTAGCAGTACTGTATAATCTATATTCACTTATACACACAAGATGTACATGCACATAAACACACAGTTAGTCACATCTGTAACCAACCAGCCCTAAATGTTCAGGAAATACTTAACATGACTCACTGGGAATTTCACATTTTCCAAACCCTAAGCAGGGCCACATGTATTAAACTCCTCCCTTTAGCACACAGAGCTGCAAAAATATCTCCAACTGAGCAAAACAGAGATAATATTCTGCCTTCCAGAAGAAAGAAAGTGAGTGTGTTTATGTGTATGATGGGGGTAGGGGATTGGGAAAGGGGCACAGAGAAGGAGAACATACAGTACAAACCCTGTGTAATTGTGGCTTTTAAACTAGATTTTCCTGTTTCCATTAGTTATATGCTCATTAACAAATATGTCGAAAATACTAAGTTTCACTTTTGGATGAGTGTGTTTTCCATAAAGCAGGCAAGGTGATCTAGCTGAAAAACTCTGGCAAGCCAAGTACTTAAAGACCAATGGATAAGAGAGGAAAGGGGAAAGAGAACAGTGTTTTCACAAAAAAGCTACAGGGAGGTTTTTTTTTTTACAGCCTGAGAAAACAGACACCTGTACTTAAAGAAATTAGCAAAGTTTTTGTTTTTAAAAGAGGTATTTATGCATATTGCAACAAAACATAAGAATGGCGACTGACCACTCTATTTCCTCATCAGTGCCTCATTTACGATATGCTCTAAAGTCTTACATGTACTTTTATGTGGCAAACAATATTTATATATATTAAAGGCACAATATGTAAGTTTTCGCCGCTAGAGGGCGCGTATTCAAAACAAACAAAGAAACAAATGCGAAGTTTGATGACGCCGTGACTGAGTGTGTAGTCATGGGAGTTGTTGTCTTCATCCCCACAGCCGATGTAATCCCACGGGACTCGGGCAGAAATCATGTTCATGGATGAGCTAATGATTTATTAACGTCGTAGTAAGAAGCAGGGTGAGGCTAAAAGCCATCGAAGCGAGACGAGGCCGCTGAATAGGTCTGTCGCGATAATTAAACCGTCTAATCGCGATTGTTTGATCTAACCGCGGTTGTTTCAGACAACCGCGATTATTGTGCTTTTTATACGACACAAGGGGGAGTCATACACCAAAAGAAACTGCACCAAAGATTTTTTTTTCAAGATATTGTTTTTGCTGCTAAATTATACAGTCAGCTAGTTTAATTTCATAGCTTATATATTTCTATTCAAATGTAGTTTTTCTCTGTAATGAGGAAGTGAGTATTTAGTGGATTGCGTTTAACAAAGGGTTTAAAAGAGTGACCATTAGTTCCACAAACACAGTATTGATATTCTGTAGTGGTGTAGGAAAAAAATAGCGCTGGTGTTGGATCGGTTATTGGCCAATTCTTAGAACTTGGAATACTCTATATAATCTTACACTGCAAAATAATAACTCAAAAAGATGAAAAGATAACATCATAATTGTTTACTGAACCCTTAAATTAATCACAATTATACAATGAAAGCCATAAAAACAGACAATTAATCGCGATAATCGGCATAATCGCCAAAGCCCTAAAACAGACAATTAATCGCAATAACCGTGACTATTTTTA